TTAAAAAATTGAAAAATATTTTTTTGGGTTTAATTTATTCTTATTTATTTTTTTATTTAATAGTTGTTTTAATTCAAGTTATATATTTATATATTTATATTATTATACCACGTGAATATAAAAATAAGATTATAATAATGAGAACAAATATAAAAATAATTATAAAATTAAAATACAAATATTCCAATATAGACTGCCAAAATTGGAAGTTTTGAAAAGCTATTTTCATTTGTATATGATCTATTTTTATTCATGACTGCCATTTAAAAGGAATATGACCATTCTACTTCAGTGACTTCAGTCGACGAGTATCAGCTGACGTATCAGCTGATCTTTTGATAACCTCAACGTAATCGTTGAAAGCACTCTCGTACACGTAAACAAATAGAGAGTCCGAACGATATCAGTGTACCAGTATTTATCATCTCAGTTCGACCGAGCTGAATAAAAAAAATCATCAAAAATGCAGTGAGACGGACGGATATATTATTCTATTGTATGAGTCGGCGTTCAAAACATGTCCAGTCCAGGAGATGTGACGGAAAATCTGACGGTACAAGTGAACGAGCTGCAAGCTTTGCAGTCCGTCTACCCGAACGAGCTCATCGTGGCGGACTATGGGGTTTTGGCTGACATCAACGAATACATTGAGCGCCCTGATCGAGAACCACCCCGATGGTTGGAATACGCTATCGCGATCCCATTGAACGGTGTAATATAATATTTATATATGTAACATTTCTAATTAAAAAATTTTTTCTTCGTTTATATACAGTATTAATATATATATCATTAACATGTTGCTTGCATCGTGTTGTAGAGGAATATTGAGCTGCTAATCAACTTGCCAACCAACTATCCACAAGAGCAGCCTGATGTCTATGTGAGAAGCTCTTGCTTGGATAGAACGCAACAGTGCCTACTGAACAAGGAGTTGTCTAATATTGTCAAAGCCCAGGAAGCAGGGGAGCCTTGCATTTATACATTGATATCGTGGCTGCAGGATAATGCGGAAACTTATCTCGAGGCTTCCGCGTGTAATCAAGCAATTAAATGTAATGACACAACTAAGAATGACATGGAAGAGACACGGACTGTGGCAACTTTCTCCAGATATTGGATTTACAGTCATCACATATACAGCAAATTTAAACGACGAGATGTAGCGAATTTGGCAAAGGAGAATTCCATCACAGGATTCTGCTTAGCTGGCAAACCTGGAATCATTTGCATGGAGGGAAGTCGGGAAGATTGCGACTATTGCTGGCAAAAAGTAACATTAATAATGATTTTTTTGTCTTAATTATTTGACAGGAATAACTTATATTGTTATAATTTGCAGATTAAAGCTATGAACTGGCACAGGATATTAATAAAATTATTGGAAAAAGAGGAAGATTGCAATGACGTGGACAGCATGCGCAGGTTTACAGATTTTCAAGAGGTCTCCTTTCCTACCACTGAACGTCACAATGATATGGGTCAACTTCTCAAATATCTAACAGATCATAACTGTCAGCATGCATTTAAGGAACTTTTTGGTATCGAAGGAAAGTTCAACAAATTCTCAGATTGATATAATTACATTAAAATATATTCTTATATATATAAGAATATTAATATTAAAGATGTAGTTTGTACAGTTTCTTTTAATTAATATCATAGAATTTCGTGTATAGGTAGAATTAAAATTTCTTGCTTACCTTTATTGAATTGCAAATCATCTTGAAGACTTCTTTTTTGTCGCTTGTTTCTCTGAAGGATTGTTTTAGTTGCATTTTCCATATATTTATTAATTGCATTATTGATACTATTTGAACTATCACTATTTAATACTTCATATGCTACAAATACCAAATGTTTTAGATGAAGACCAAAATTTTTATATACAATAAAAGAAAATACTAGGATATCAATATTAATATTTTACCACTGGTGAGATTTTTAAAGTATTCCGTCGTTTGATCAAGTATTACATACAAATTTTCCATTGAGTAAGATTGAGAAGAATGTTCGCACTTTGTCATACATATTAATGTGATAATTAGAAAAAGCTTGTGTAACATATTTGAACATACACAGTGAAGCCTCTCAAGCTACTGATCACGACTGATGACAATAACAGTGGACTGATCATGAGTTGACTACTACCCAACAGTATGTTGTGTTTACAGTTTTTCTGCATTTAACTTATATGTACACTTTCAAATTCCAATCTATAGTATGTATATCCGAATTCTAATATGAATCTGTGTACACACATATACAAGCAGAATTTTTCTCAGAATTTTTCTTATTTACAATATTATAATTTAATAAAGATGATATGTATATATATATTTAATAATAATGATTCTTAATAGATAAATACGATGAAGTAATATAAATAACAGACTGTAAATGACTGAAAATGAAAAAGCTTGGAATCTTCTGAACTGAATTTTGGCAAATAAATAATAAAATTTTGTTCTTTCTTATTTATAAACCTTATCTAATTGTGGCATAGCGTAAAAACTCATTGGTCAGAAACTGTCCTGGGATATAAGGCGCCGGTGGACCGAGGATATCCTGCGCAGGACTGTGAATTTTGATTTGCCTCATATGGGTATCCCTGCCATTCTGATGATTGCTAATAACTGCTATCTGAATCATGAATGTCCTAATAGGGCGATCGTTTATGTTTTTAATGGGAATCACTATCCAACCGCTTGGTTCATTTAAATCCATCACTTCTACTTCTTGGAGATCATTGAAGTTGGTCCCGGCTCTGATACTTATCCTAGAAATTGGAAAAGGTTATTATTTACATTAATAACAACTAATGCTAATAATTTATATCTACAAATAGTGGGAAATATCTCTACCTGTTGGGAGTATAACTCTCATCCAGCTTGTAATCTGTGTAAATACATATGTCACGAATGGTCGTCTTTCTTTTAAATTGTATATTCACTAAATGAGGTAACTGTCCATCTGATTGCCAATAGGTTTCCGTGATATCATCTCGAAGCTGATCCACGCCGAATCCTGGTTTGCAACTCGACAAACTCCAGATCGCATAATTCCCAACTTCCCGTACTCTACCAGTCAGCTGTTCCTGTACAGGATCTATCTCACCTGAATGAGAGGAAGATTTTGATACATATAAAATATATCATCTCTCACATTTAGAAGCTTAATTAAATTACAATATGCAAATGCAAAACAAAAGATACTAAAGAAACAGTACATTTACCTGCGTTATTAGTCTTATTACTCATAGTTAGGTTATGGATTCTTCAAGTCAGCTGTTCGAATGTAACCTTCTTATTTTTAATTCTTTTTCTCCTAATTATTAGAATATCACATATATAAAATAACAGCAAATCACATATGTTTTAATTTTTAATCCTCTCAATACACACACACGAATGTTTTAAAAACTAGAATGTCACCTCGATTCTCGATTCGTGCGAAATTTCGATATTCTCGAACGATATTTTAATTTCGACAGATAGAAAAGCCTGAATTTAAATAAACTTATAAATATACTTAAAACAATTGTTTTAGAGTAAAAACATATATACAACTTGTTACGTCACTCTGAGTTATTTTTCGTTCAACACAATACAAAAAACTAGAAAAAATAAATTACCAAGCCTAATAGGCACTTGGTATATCAATTATATGTATATTTTTTTATTTTATTTATTTATTGCTTATTATTTATCATCACAGAATATTAAACATACTTATAATTTTTAGCTATAATTCGTATGTGTGTGTATAAAAAAAAAATCTTTAGGCATCATTTCAACTTTGTTTTAGTGGACAAAAAAAAATCTTTCGGCATCATTTCAACTTTATTTTAGTGGATGTTTCAATTTTTTATTGCAACTCTCTTGATTTTAAAAATCAGGTTTTTGTTGTACCACAGGTCGCTATGGTTAAATCGATCGTTGCGGCGGCACATTTCTATCGCCGTCTTTGCATTCTTATCACCGTTTACGCTTTGGAAGAGTCTGTGAAATCGATGAATCAAACTATTAATTTCTCTCAATCCCCGATTAACAAAATAATAATAATCTGATCGGATTGATTCTATTCGACAGCCAGTTCAAGATTAATTAAATAAGCAAATATCGATGACGTTGGCGCTGTCGAGAATAGATTACACGACGGTAGGAGTTACCTCACGTGGCACAACTGTCATATTTCCGCCTAATGAAGCAATAAAGCAGCCGCAAAAATTCGCCGTTGCGGATCACGATGGAATACTGCATATTTATGGTATCTATTTTCATCTTTTATTACAAACTAATATCAACAAATTTCGTAAATAATCAGTAAAAAATATTTTGATATTAATATATATCAGTTCGAGAAAAAATAGTCCATATATATATAATCATATATAAATATATATATAAGAAGTTCATTATATGTTCTCTTTTTTTATATACTTTCTGTCTATTTATACAGGAAAAATAATAAGAAATTGAAAAATAATTAAAGGAATAAGTTCTGCACTTTTTTTAGAAAAAATGTGGTTTGCGATTAAATTATACAATATTTTATATAGAATTATAATAAAATATTATAAGATTATAAGAACTATTTTTTATTGAGAATATTAAAATGGATATTCAAAGATATTTGAATATGCAAAAAAATACAAACTTATTCTTTGTTGTAGGCATGAAAAAGGGAGAGCTGCAATTGTCTTTTAAATCTTTGCCTGGTTCAAAAATCCATAAAATGGTCCTTGGTGGCACGATAGGTATGTCGAGGGATAAGATTTTTCTTGCGTACGATAGCTCCGTGAAGGGATTCACGAGAAAGGGCAAGCTGTTCTTGGAGTTTGATACCAGCCTTATAGATCCAATTTCCGCCTTGTAAGCTTACTTTGTTCTCACTTCCTCATAATATCCCATTAATTGTCATCGCGGATTTATTCCATCTAGGTACGTTCTCGGTCCTGATCTCGCGGCGTGCGCGCGCGATCTCTATCACAGATACAAGGATTGCAAGGACGCCGATTCCTATCTGGCCGGGGAAACTTTGCACGATGTCGTGCTCTTGCCCGGAGACGGCAATGTGGTGTACGCTATCCTCGCTTGTGCAGACTGTGCGGTAATATTTAACGAGATGTATTAAAAATTCATCTGGAAAATAATTTGATAATATTAATTATACAAATTATTATACATGCATTCTCTCTTTGCTTTTTAGGTACGCGTTCTGCATGGTACAAGAAGTCCAACGGTCCTGAGATTACCGAGTACTCCTACGGTGCTATCTGTATATAGGTAATCGTCTGATTGACGCTCGTATCGCATGCAACATTTCAAACGGATTATTTCAGATTAATTGTTATACGCTGTTTTTCAGGGAAGAAGAGGTATACTCGAAGGATCGCGTCTTGGTTGGCACTGCGGACGGTAGAATCGGACTGCTAATACTCCAAGGTAATAAAACTCTCCGAATCACCTGGTTATTGACTTCGACAGGCTCGGGAATCACTTCGTTGGATACCCACCAGTTGCAAGACGGTATAGACATTCTCGTGGGTCGACAAGACGGAGTCGTCGAGGTGTACACGTTTCCCGATGAAGATGTAACGTCCATTCTACGCTATCACTACGTAAGCCATTGTGATCTAAGTTTTCATCAAATTGAATCAGATTAATTTAGTAGTGATATATTACAGAATGCCGGCGAAAGTATTAGTACAGTCGTAGGTGGTATAATTGGTATCGCCAATTATCCCGAGGTTCTCGTAACGACTTACTCAGGCCGAGTATTTGGGTTGACTACCAGTCCGCCTGGTTTGCTAGAAGCAGGACAGAGCAATGTTGGATTGTCCAGATTAAAATTAGAGATACAACAACTGCAGGAGAAATTGAATGAAGAGAAAGAGTCGTCCAACTTCATGCCTGATCCTCTAGCACCCTTGATATTGGCACTGAATCATAAGTAAAACTTGTTGCTACCAAATTATATTTTTCTCTTTACTATTGGAAATTAAATTATACAATATTTTATATAGAATTATAATAAAATATTATAAGATTATAAGAACTATTTTTTATTGAGAATATTAAAATGGATATTCAAAGATATTTGAATATGCAAAAAAATACAAACTTATTCTTTGTTGTAGGCATGAAAAAGGGAGAGCTGCAATTGTCTTTTAAATCTTTGCCTGGTTCAAAAATCCATAAAATGGTCCTTGGTGGCACGATAGGTATGTCGAGGGATAAGATTTTTCTTGCGTACGATAGCTCCGTGAAGGGATTCACGAGAAAGGGCAAGCTGTTCTTGGAGTTTGATACCAGCCTTATAGATCCAATTTCCGCCTTGTAAGCTTACTTTGTTCTCACTTCCTCATAATATCCCATTAATTGTCATCGCGGATTTATTCCATCTAGGTACGTTCTCGGTCCTGATCTCGCGGCGTGCGCGCGCGATCTCTATCACAGATACAAGGATTGCAAGGACGCCGATTCCTATCTGGCCGGGGAAACTTTGCACGATGTCGTGCTCTTGCCCGGAGACGGCAATGTGGTGTACGCTATCCTCGCTTGTGCAGACTGTGCGGTAATATTTAACGAGATGTATTAAAAATTCATCTGGAAAATAATTTGATAATATTAATTATACAAATTATTATACATGCATTCTCTCTTTGCTTTTTAGGTACGCGTTCTGCATGGTACAAGAAGTCCAACGGTCCTGAGATTACCGAGTACTCCTACGGTGCTATCTGTATATAGGTAATCGTCTGATTGACGCTCGTATCGCATGCAACATTTCAAACGGATTATTTCAGATTAATTGTTATACGCTGTTTTTCAGGGAAGAAGAGGTATACTCGAAGGATCGCGTCTTGGTTGGCACTGCGGACGGTAGAATCGGACTGCTAATACTCCAAGGTAATAAAACTCTCCGAATCACCTGGTTATTGACTTCGACAGGCTCGGGAATCACTTCGTTGGATACCCACCAGTTGCAAGACGGTATAGACATTCTCGTGGGTCGACAAGACGGAGTCGTCGAGGTGTACACGTTTCCCGATGAAGATGTAACGTCCATTCTACGCTATCACTACGTAAGCCATTGTGATCTAAGTTTTCATCAAATTGAATCAGATTAATTTAGTAGTGATATATTACAGAATGCCGGCGAAAGTATTAGTACAGTCGTAGGTGGTATAATTGGTATCGCCAATTATCCCGAGGTTCTCGTAACGACTTACTCAGGCCGAGTATTTGGGTTGACTACCAGTCCGCCTGGTTTGCTAGAAGCAGGACAGAGCAATGTTGGATTGTCCAGATTAAAATTAGAGATACAACAACTGCAGGAGAAATTGAATGAAGAGAAAGAGTCGTCCAACTTCATGCCTGATCCTCTAGCACCCTTGATATTGGCACTGAATCATAAGTAAAACTTGTTGCTACCAAATTATATTTTTCTCTTTACTATTGGAATATAAAATTGATTAATTGAGATTAAAATTAGAATTAAAATTGATTCGTAGAATGGTTCTGCATAAGGAGGATGCATCGTATTCCCTTTCTGTAGAGCTAGACGCATCGATCGACAATATTCTCATACAATCAGATACACCTATTGATCTGTTAGAGACGGAGAACAACAGCGCAGTGGTCAGTCTGTCCGCTTGCGATCCTAGAGAGGGCAATTTCGTTCTTGCTACTTATCGATGCCAAGTAAATATATCGTATATTTCATTGCAATTTATTTCGGAATTATAAAATTTTAAAAATTTAATATTTTTTCGAAATCAATTTTTACGAAAAATAATTTATCGACAGATTAATACAAATCGTTTGGAAATGCGATTGAGGTCAATCGAGGGTCAACCGGGTACCTTGCAGGTTTATGTAACATCCCAGGTATATTTTGCACATTGTTTTCCGAATCTCAAATCTGTTTATGTTGTTAATATCTTTGATAATTTTCAGGTACAGCCAAAGCGTTGCCGTAAAATCTTGATTCCTATTTACGCCTTGTCTTTACACGTCAGACAACACGAGGATGATGACACTACACAGTCCAGTGGTCCGTTTAATGAATTGAAATTAAACGGCAATTTCACGATTGCCGAGGTGTGATTTTTCACTCTGTTGCTCTTGTTGCTAGAAAACAGCTTTTTCCATATTCTCCTTAGATTTTATTTTCCAGATGCATGCATGGCTTTCTCTGATATTAATGGATGTGCCTGAAAGGCCTCACATTCACGAGGGTGAAGCTGTTTTAGTATATATCTCATCCTTCATTGGAACGGTCCTCAAATGCAAATATAAGTAAGTTTATAACGTAAAATTAAATTTACATTTGTCTTCAATTTTTCCATAAATTGCAGAAAAGGAAGCGCGCTTTTTCTCGGCGAGAATATATCCAGTATCATA